CCCTCCCGTAAAAGTTTTCTGTGCACAAGGGTTCGGTGTTGGCTCAAATCCAGACTCGTGAAGGCGGAGATGAAGCAGCTGCCGCCCAGGAGCAGCTCTGTGCTCACAGGACTGTGATAAAACCCATCCGAAAGGGAAATTTCCGTGCCCGGGCAGCCGAGGGAGGGAGCCTGAGCTCAGCTGCAATAATCGCTGGACTGGGCTGGTTTGTGCCCAGTGTGGGAGCTGAGAAGGGGCTCTGGGACCCATTCCCAGCTTCACAGGTGCCCTTTTCTCCTGCTGTGCCCAATTCCAGGTTGTTGTGGAGCCAAATCTGGGAAAGTGTGTGTGGGGAAGTATTTCAGAGCATCTCCACACCCCAGCTCCCTGGGAGGAGGGTGAAGCTGCGGATGGATGGTCCGTGTGGAGTTACACTGCAGTAACCCACTGAGGGAGGAGCAGCACTGAGCCCAGAGAGATGTCCCGGGATGTGCAGCCTGATGAGGTGAGGGCAGCACCATGGAAAGTCCTGTGTGAGACAGGGTCTGGGGTAGATCCCAGGGGAAACAGAACCCTTGGGATCTGAGACATGCTGGCGTTCATTCCCCGTAGCCACAGGGCAGTCCCCATGCAGCACTCACCAAAACCTCTCCTTTTCAAGGCTGTCCTTGCTGCTGCCAGGGAGAAGAAAAGAACATCAGAGAAAAATGAGGAGTCACCATTCTGTCCCCGCTCATCTCCTTTAGGTACGGGGATCTCAGACATGCCCAGCACCCGGGCTGGGAGCCAGGGCGCCCTGGGGAAGGCACTGCTGGGACATCAAGCCTGGATGTCCCTGACCCACCCCAGCACTGTCTGAGTGCCAGGGAGCCATGTGCAGCTCTCTCTCAGGCTACAGGGAGAAGCACACCCGGCACAAAGGCTCTGCCAGCATGGTGTGGGCAGCCAGGCCGGGGATGCTGTTCCGGAAGAACAGGGACAGCAGCTTCCACCCCCTTGTGAGTACAACGGGCACAGTGCCACCAGGGTGCTCCCCATGGCACCCAGCACTCCTGCCCTGCTCTCCTCCATCACCCCACAGCCCCTGTGTGCCTTTTCTGTCCTGGCTGCTGAGGGCCAGGAGCTGTCTCTTCCCTGCAGGACCTGTCCTGGGTGTTTGGCTACAACAGCAGCCTGGCTGTGCACAGCCTGATGGACGGGGAGCACCGGGTGCTCCTGTACGTCTCCTCCCACACTGTGGTCATCCACGACATCCTGCAGAACAGGCAGTCCCACCTGCAGGTCTGGCACAGCGAGCATCTCCCTCCTCCTCCTCCCCTTCTCCTGAACTCCCTCCCTCCATCTCTCTGGTGCCCTGTGCTCAGGGGTCACCTACAACCAAACCCAGGAGCAGCCCATACAAAAGGTAGGAACAGAAGAGCCCCAGGTTTGCAGCCTCCAAGGCATTTTGCTGCTTCCCTCCCCCAGGGCCACACGAATGTCATCTCCTGCGTGTGTGTGAGTGAAGACAAACGCTGGGTTGCGACTGCTGACCAAGGGCCAGATCCAATGATCATCGTGTGGGACTCCTACTCTGGGTAAGCTCCCAGGAACCTCCTGTTTTGGAAACTCCCTGTGTCCAGTAAATCAGTCAGGACTGACTCCAGTCTCAGCTGAGAGTAAAATGGGAGAACACAGGGACAGACTAAAAAACAGCAAAGGAACCAAAACCAAACCAAGTCCTTCATTGTCCTTGTATCACCCACACCCATGGGACACTGAGGTGGGGCTGAGCTCCCCCAGACTGAGTACATCACATCTCCATGCTGTAGGATCTTCAGAGATCCCTGGTGAGTTGTTCCCCAGTGCCATTTATTTGTGAGGAAGGGATGGAGGGGACACTGAGCCCCAGCCTGTGGCAGCACCAGTGTTTGCAGCCTCCCTCCCTCCATCCCTTTTTCCACACAGAGCGGGGTGGGTGGGCTGTGGCACAGGCTTTGCCAAGGGACTGCCTGGCACCCCCAGTGCTGCCAGGGGGACCCAGGGGATCTCTGCTCCGCAGGGTTCCCGTGCGCACCATCTTCCAGAGCCACCCTGAGGACGGGCTCTGTGCCATCGCCATTTCCCACGATGCCAAGTATTTGGTGACCATTAGTGCTGCTGCTGTGCAGGTAAGACAATATCTCCTCTTTCACAGCTTTGCAGGATACAGAGCTGGCAGTTTTTTGCCGTGCAGCACAGGGGAGGTGGGGATTCACATGGGGAGAGCAGGTTTTCAGTGATGCTTTGTTTTTGCTGAGCCATTAGAAGACAGACCTGGATTTCATTAAAGTGAATGCTGCAGAGTTGAGAAATGTATCTTAATTTGGGATAAAAGCTTCTGACCTCATCACTTTCATCTAAGCCATTTCTAGCATTATTTGCTGAAATTAAGCTTTCTGCTGCCAGGCTGTGCTGGGTTTTACCCTGCTCCACCATCCCCTGCAGTGGGGAATGGGATTCACCTGGCTCCCCAAACCTCCACAGAACCATGGGAGCGTTCCTGGGATTCTTCTCTCCTTCTCTTTCAGAAAGTTTGTGTTTGGAGATGGACTTGGCTCACAGGGGAACCCATGTGCAGCACAGAGCTGGACCCTGAGTTTGGCTATCAGGTCAGTGACCATGCCAAGGGGGGCAGGGCTGGGCTGGGCAGCCCCATCCTCACCTGGTGCCCCCATGGGAGGCAGGATCACACCTCTGGGGCACCTTGATCCAGCAGAGCATCCCAAGGGGTCATCCCTGTTCCTCTAATGCCTGACAGGCAAGGGGCGTCCTCTGATTTCAGTTCAGTGCAGCTGGTGAAGTGGTTTTGGATGGAAGAATAAGCAGAAAGCATTGCTCAGCTTGGTGCTAATGCAATTCTTTGAATTTCAGGATTATGTCATTTTTAACCCTCAGAATCCCCATGAGTTTATTAGCAACAGCAAAAGCCAGGTGATATTTTACCTGTGGGTAAGTAGGGACATGGGAAGTTGTGTTTCTGGTGGCAGGGGGGCTCAGGGGCTGGGTGTTTGCCCACAGCTGGGGTCACTCTGCAGATCTGTCCCTTCCCTGCTCGCTGCCCTTGCCAGATCCCAAAGTGGTCTGGACAGATATCACACTCCCTCCCCTCCCACACTGGTCAGGCCCAGCTGTGGCAGGGATGCTCTTCACCTCTCCCACTCCTGCTTTCCCATGGGCCTTGTGCCATTCAGCAGCTTTTGGAAAGAAGCACCGGTGGAAGGAGAGGATGTTTTGTGCTCTCTGGAGGCCCTTGGAGCCTTTGCTGCTTTGGCCACCACAGTGTGGGGCCAGTGCCCAGGTGGTGGGGAGAGCCATGCTGGCACTGCAGAGCTTGGTTCCAAAATCCCTGTCCTGGATGTTTTCTCTGCTTTCCTCAGGATGACTCTGGTTTGCAGTATGGGGCACCATTCCTGATCAACCAGGTGAGCACAGCAGGGAGGGACACAGCATGTCACCCTCTTGGCTTGCCTGCTGGCAGCACCACTGTCCCTCCCCATCCCCTCACACAAAAACAGTGGCCATGGCTTGTCCTCAGACGGGGACAAGCCAGGTTTGCCCAAGCTGAGCTCAAGCAAAGCTCTGTCCCCAAAGTGCCCCACTGCATTTTCTCTTGGGGCTCTTGTCTCTTGTCCTGCCATGGGCCAGGAAGGGAATGCCATGAGGGAATGCCAACCTCTCTGCTTGAAGAAGGCAGAGCCAGCTCTGGTATGAAAGCACAGCCTGTCTGCTCTCTCCACAGACCTTCAAGTGCGTGGTGGGACAGTTCAGCCAGTCAGTTTTCCACTTTAACAACACCCAAGCTCTGACGGGCACGTCGGCAGGGAAGCTGGTGGTGTGGGACATGCACGAGCCCCGCACCCTCCCCGAGGAGCGGCTGCCCAAACCCCACGGAGTGACAGCCACCAGGGTGGTGACAATGCAGGAGGAGAGCCTTACCGTGCTCCAGGTGTCGGACAGGTAACGGGACAGACCTTGTCAGTAGCTTAGGTACAGTCCAGTCCTCAGGCAGCTCAGCTGCAGGAGTGGCAGAGATAACGTTGCAGTTTTAATCACTTGGCAGCGTGGTCACTCGTGCAGGAAAGTACTGCTGGTTTATGAGTAATTTTGCAGCAATGGACTTGTCTGGGGGTGGAAATGAGGTTGAAAAGTCCATTGCATCCCATGCGATGCCAGCTCCCCTGGGATAGCTCAGGCAGCGGCTCAGATAGCTCCTGGCTGCTACCGGCAGAGGGAGCAGACAGCCACCAAACGCCACCACAGCCTTGGGGACACGGCAGGGACACGGCAGGGTCACCGCTGGTTTCTGCACAAGCCTGGCTTTCTCCTGCACATCTGTGCAGGGCTCTGCCCGTGTGCTTGTGCAGGGAATTGGGGAAGAGATTTGCTTCCACCCAAGGATGCTCTCCATGAAATATTTGGGAGCTGTCAGTGTGTTGGTTAATAACTCTCCCTTCCCTGCAGCTATATAGTCACAGGAGATGTGAATGGGCAGGTTAAATTCTATGATGGGCAGCTGCGGCTCCTCACCATCTACAGCCACGACAAAGTGGGTCCCATCCAGTCCATCTCCTTCTCCACAATCCTTCGGGATGTTCCCGGTGCCCTCCCAAGCAGCAGGCAGCCCTTTCTCACCAGGTGAGTGTCTCTTTGCCAGCCCAGGTGTTTGCCTTGCAGCTGAAAGCTGGGGAGGTGCTCAGTG